AGCTCAGAGGCTTATTAGCTTAGAAATCTTTTACATGCTGTAGATCTACTACACATGGAACAGACCGGCTTTACTTCCCTCCGCAGAAAGGTGTTCGTAGAAGGATTAGTTGTCAACAGACGAGTTGAATTTAAGTCGAGGCTTCATTTACTGGAACTTTACATGCAGTAGATCTACTAACATGGGCAGCCGGCTTTAACTTTCCCTCCGCAGGAGGCGTTCTGAAGGAGTAACGTGCTAAATTCAATTTGCCTGTTAAACTAATCCTTCGTACGCCTTCCTGCGGAGGGGAAGTAAAGCCGGATGTCCCATGTTAGTAGATCTACTGCATGTAAAAGATTATCATGGCTAAATGAATCCTCTGAGCTAAATTCAATTTGCCTGTTAAACTAATCCTTCGTACGCTTTCCTGCGGAGGGGAAGTAAAGCCGGCTGTCCCATGTTAGTAGATCTACTGCATGTAACAGATTCTCAAGCCTAAATGAAGCCTCTGAGCTAAATTCAATTTGCCTGTTGAACTAATCCTTCGTACGCCTTCCTGCGAAGGGAAAGTAAAGCCGGCCGTCCCATGTTAGTAGAACAACTGCATGTAAAAGATTATCAAGGCTAAATAAAGCCTCTGAGCTAAATTCAATTCGTCTGTTGAACTAATCCTTCGTACGCCTTCCTGTGGAGGGAAAATAAAGCCGGCTGTCACATGTTAGTAGATCTATTGCATGTAAAAGATTCTCAAGGCTAAATGAAGCCTCTGAGTTAAATTAAATTCGCCTGTTGAACTAATCCTTCGTAAACTTTCCTGCGGAGGGGAAGTAAATCCGGCTGTCCCATGTTAGTAGAACTACTGCATGTAAAAGATTGTCAAGGCTAAACGAAGCCTCTGAGCTAAATTAAATTAGCCAATTGAACTTATCCTTCGTACACCTTCCTGCGGAGGGGATGTAAAGCCGGCTGTCCCATGATAGTAGATTTACTGCATGCAAAAGATCCGCAAGCCTACATGAAGCTTCTGATCTAAATTCAATTGGCGTGTTTCGTCGCCCGAGTGATACCTCCTTTTTCCACCAGTGGGTGAAAGGAGCGTAGCGAAATTTGTGTGGTCAGATGGAAGAGCGGACCTGATGGCCCGAGTCTCGCCACATAAAATAATGCATCAAGTCAACTCAATTGAATTAATCGTCTCTACCAGTATGATACTAGTCTATCCGCACGAAACGTTTCGATCCGTATGATATGGGTATATCATAATGAAACGGATTCTCTAGGAATCAATTATGATATGACTGCAGATTTTTAGATTAAAAAACCTCCTATTTTAGAACCTAAAACGCTCTTAAAAGGTAAATATAACAGTTACAATTTCTTAAATATGCTGTTTAAATTACGGTGAAAATAACTTTTCCCAATACAGCTTATTACACATAAAGCTGTCTTATTGCTTATTTTGCTGCCACTATTATTCAAATGACTCTTCTTGCCACATAAAACCTGGTCGCAATGAACACCTGAATGCCGAATGTGCGTACAGTTATCGCACGGATATTTGAGAGATGCTGTTCACAGTGTTCTAGCAATTAATATAAATTTCTGGAATTAAATGTATTTCATTTTTATTGCATGTTTGAAACTTGGTTGACAAACAACTACGCGCCTTTGCGTTGGAAACAATAGATTTACCTCATCCAATGCCATACAAGAACACTTTTTTTACTTGTAATTTTTTGACTGCGCGGAATTGAACCCCCCTAATGAATAAATAATTATGAAATGTAAAATTTAGCATTAGATAGTATTGTTGGAATGCCAAACATTTCCACTCGACTACCAACGTCGCAAAGTAGCACGCAACTTTGGAAGGGTTAACGTCAAAATAATGACCATGCCTCCACTAATGACGGAAGATTCCATCCGCGACGTTTCCAAGAACGAGCTATCGTGGGTTCATTTCGACGCCCCAAATCAAAAACAGTGAACAACCTCGTGAAAAATCACTCCTACCCGCCCCGCACGGCCGACAGGAAAGAGAATATGGTAACTAGGTCGATAAATACTGGCCGCCAGCCGCGACGACTGGTTTGCGGTGTCGGTAGAAGCAGGTCCGGTTTTTCGTAGCGTGAGGCGGAAAGAGCGTGAGATGGTGGAGGTGTAGGGCGGTGGCGGTGGCTCACCTTGTCCGAGATCTGCAGCGGCAGGTTGAGCACGGCCTCCTCCCCGCGCATGAGCGTCTTCACGTCACGCAGCGACACGTCCACGAAGCACAGCTCCGTGGGGTTCCCGTGGCGGTCCTGGTCCAGCGCCGTCACGCGCAGGCTCCAGTCCTGCGCACCAAGAGCTCTCGCTGCTGCACGCACGCCGAGGGTGCGCGACGCACGCATTCTCACGCGCGACGTGCGAGACTGCCTCCCCACCTGTCTGCTTCCCTAGGTATTTTTCCCTATGTCTGTTTCCCAGTCTCTGTTTCCCTGTGCCTATTTCCCTGTGTATGTTTCCCTGTGTCTGTTTCTTTGTGTCTTTTTCCCTGTCTCTATTTTTCCGTGTCTATTTTCCCGTGTCTGTTTTTCCGTGTCTGTTCCCCTGTGTCTGTCTCCCCGTGTCTGTTTCTCTGTGTCTGTCTCCCTGTGTTTGTTTCCCTGTCTCTATTTTCCCGTGTCTGTTTCCCTGTGTCTGTTTCCCTGTGTTTGTTTCCCTGTGTCTGTTTCCCCGTGTCTGTTTCCCGTTGTCTGTTTCCCTGTTTCTGTCTCCCCGTGTCTGTTTCCCCGTGTCTGTTTCCCTGTGTCTGTTTCCCCGTGTCTGTCAGGTTGCGTATGTCTCTTTGTCGCTCTGACAGTCTTTCTCTGCCTCTCTGTTTGATTCTCAGTTTATCTATCTGTGTGTCTCCGCTCTCTCTCTCTCTCTCTCTCTCTCTCTCTCTCTCTCTCTCTGGTCTGTCTGTTTTTATCTGTCTCCATCTACCTGACTTTCTCTTTTCTTCTCATCTCAGAGTCTCCTCTGACATTTCTCCCTCACACTTTTTTCCATTCCCTCTGTTTCACACCTCTCTCAACATCCCCTTTTTTTGTCATTACCTCATTTTCTCTCATTGCCTCTTCACATGTGTCTGATACTAACCCTCTCATTCTCTCTCAGATGTTTTATTTCTCATTCTCGCAGTTCCTATATCCACTTCTCTCCTCACCCTTCCTCTATGTCTTATTCGTGTACAAGATATTCTTATCAACCTGTAAACAAAACAAGAAAACTGATTTTTTTTAAATCTGAAACTTCTGATTCAAGCCGTGCAAGATGCAGAATAGCTGTTCAAATACCAACGAGACGATCTCGCAAGTCTGGGCGCCTCAAAAAATATTTTTTGTTAAAAACATCGTTCTGTTATGATTTTCTCGTTTTCTTTGGTCCTAACAGGTAACATTCAAAGTTTGGTCCCTCTAGTTCAGCAGGACTTTTTTCCTGTTAAGGTCTACAAATTTTAAAATAGTGAAGAGTGTATAAATTTTTTTGAATTTTTCAAGAATATTACTTGATATCCAATGTATTTAATGCCAATGCGTTTAATATTAGCATCAGTTCAAAACTGGACTGTTGAAACAACTCTCAATACACCCATCGTTTTTGCAATGTTCAATCAGTACGTCCCTGCAAGCGAGTGCAGCCCCTGAAATTAATAAAATGCTTTATGCTTCTTTTTAGTATTTTCTAGTATGCCTGGTACTATGTTAGAAATACTACTAAGCTTTAGTACTGAATGAATAGGTAACTTTATTTCCGTATTCCATTTTAAATATATTAATATTTTCATTAGACATATAAAGCTGTATTAATACATTATCCATTATGAAGATCGAATCATACAACATATCTGTTGTAAGTGTTGTGTATGTCTGATAAAAGTTTACTTTTATTATCTTGTAAGCATGGTGCTGCTTATCACTTTGAATTGTGAAAGATAGGAAAATGTCCATATGATAATCTTATTAGAATTAACAGCAACTCTTTCTATCAATCTTTCTCCAAACCTTATTTAACCTTCACTGGGTAACAGCTTCATGTGTTGCGACATGTCATACTGTTCTTTTACCGGGTTTTGTCCTTTGGTATTCTTAATTCCGGCAGTGAATTTGGAGCGTGTAAATTATGACGAACTAATATAACAATAAAATTTCATGTTTATTCAATACGATGATGAAAACGAGTGTCTCTACTGGAATGTACTTTTTTATCTGAACATTAAGAATACATTTTCTCCATGACTACTGTTTTTAGCCACACTTATAGCTCTTCAAAATTTAACATTCATTCAAAATTTCTGACCCGCGTGTGTCCTCAACATCCAATTGGAACTTCTGTTAATGAACAGAAGCTAATGAGTCTGCGTTTAATTTTTCCTTTTCATTTCCGTAATCATATTGTCATCATCATCACCATCATACTTCTAAAGATTCCTTTTTTATTCGCAACACAATTCCTTACAGGACATGAGCCATTTTAGATCCATCAGGTTTTTATAACGCAGGATGTTAGATTGTGGGAAGGGCTGATTTCAACTTAGACTTTATTAAAAAAAGATCTCTTCTGGGAGCAGAAAAATAATACTTTCAAGGTTAGAACTTTCGGTTATAACCTGTCTCGTCGTACCTTTCGTTATTATCGAAAGTCTAGTGGAAAACATAAAATAATATTACTAGTATGGTATGATTTTTTTGCGTTTATCTAACGATTTTTCTTTTTTGGCCAAGTAGACAGAGAGGCAAATACACAGACAGGTAAATGAACAGAGGCAAATTAACGGAGAGTCAAATGGACAGGCAGGCCAATGGACAGACAGGCCAATGGACAGACAAGCCAATGGACAGACAGGCCAATGTACAGACAGGCCAATGTACAGACAGGCCAATGTACAGACAGGCCAATGTACAGACAGGCAATGTAAGACAGGCATATGTACAGGACCAGGCAATGTAAGACAGTGCAGATGACGACAGGCAATGTAAGACAGGCATGGACAGACAGGCCAATGACAGCAGGCCAATGGAAAGACAGGCAATGGACAGACAGGCCAATGGACAGACAGGCAATGGGACAGACAGGCCAATGGATCAGACAGGCCAATGGATCAGGACAGGCCCCAAGTGGACAGTACAGGCAATGGACAGACAGGCCAGATGAGCAGAATGCCATGGACAGACACGGCAATGGAGCAGACAGCCCAATGGACAGACAGGCCAATGACAGACATGGGGCGGCAATGGACAGACAGGCCAATGGACAGCCAGGCCAATGGACAGACGGCCATATGGACAGACAGGCAATGTAGACAGGCCAAGTGGACAGACAGGCCAATGGACAGACAGGCCAATGGACAGACAGGCCAATGGACAGACAGGCCAATGGACAACAGGCCCATTGGAACAGACAGGCCAATGACAGACAGGCAATGGACAGACAGCCATGGACAGACAGCAATGGACAGACAGGCAATGACAGACCGGCAATGGACAGACAGGCAATGGACATACAGGCCAATGGACAGACAGGCAAATGAGCAGCAGGCAATGGACAGGACGAGGCCAATGGCAGACAGGCCAATGACAGACAGGCGAATGTGACAGACAAGGCAATGGACCGACAGGCCATGGAAGACAGGCAATGGACAGACAGGCAATGGACGAGACAGGCAACGACAGAACAGGCCGATGGAAAGACAGGCCAATGGACAGACAGGCAATGGACAAGACGGTCAAGACAATGAGCGAAGGTTGCTAGACTAAATGTGGAGAGGATGGAGAGGGTTAGAAAAGAGAAAATGAGGGGAGCTTTATTAGCGAGGGCCGGGCGGGGGGGCGCGGGCCGAGTTGGGGCGTGGGCTCTACCCTGATCTGTGGTCGCGCTGCTGTGAGGGCGAAGGTCTGTCGATAGTCGGCGGTCGCGCGTGGGCGCAAGGGCGCGCCGTCGCGCAGCGCGGTGCGCGGGGGCGCGGCCCGCGCTCTTCACTCACTACGTTTCCAGGGGGTGGGGAACGGGGCAAACATGGCTTAGATTTCCCATTATAACGTTCCTTTATTTTGGGCAGAATTGATTATGTAATGTATTTAAACACTAATATTGTATATTCATATCTATATTAATAAATTAGATATAATAGAATATGTTTATTACTAGCAAAATCTACTGATGCCCCCACGATGATGGGTCAATTTCGCCCCGTCCAGCCGCTCGCTTGTTGGA